GCAGATGTGTACAATACGTCTCTTGCAAAAAGTGCCCTGTTACCTGGATCTGTCGGGTTGGGAGTGCACGGCTTGCTGACAGACCGGGCTTACAAAGAAGCTTTACTGTCTCTGCAGGATGTAGGGTCCATGCACAAAACACTAAATGAATATCCACGCGTTGTCCTCCACCACAGTCAAGTAGCTAACAATCAGGATTTGTGTTCTGTGCTACAGTTTGTCATGAAGCCTTGCAGTGGACTTGTATCATGCTTATTATATGAAACGACCACAGTGAAAAATGGCATTCCGTTTTCAAAGCACGAGGTTGGCATCGAATGCAGCATGAGTTGCAATACTTCGTTCAGAGTTTTTGTGCTGCTGCACTGGCATTGCCGACCACTGCTAGACGGCAAGATGTTCATTTAAACAGCTGGTGAGTGCAATGTTTGATTTGATGGTGTCTTTACGGCGGTTTGGCTAGCCCCGTTGGCAGCTATAGGATGCAAAGGAAGTGAAACAGTTTGCATGAATGAATACGTGCCCACATAGTGAATGCGGGCGGTGCGCATGCATAGCATTATGCTAGTAATGCTATGCATGCACTGCTGCTTTCGTTGTGTAGGTGTTTGCACGTAGTACTCGATGGCGAGTTGCTCGTTTTCTCTCAGCATGTGTAACGTTGTTTGTTTGAAATTTAAAGTGAGGATGTTCAGAGACTCTTCGAAACTGCTGCTTCGTGTATGCCTCACTAAGGAGAATTTGTGGTACGCTAAACCGGTTTTATCCCTTGGGAATGTGCCTCTTCGGTGCTAGCCCATTAAATCAGGCGGGGGAGCTTCTTGGCTGAAAACACCACCGACTGCAGGAACGTTTGGTCCTGGTTGCAGGCTTGTAGTATGCAGAAACACTCAAGGCGCATGTCTTATGGTGGGGCAACCTGCGTCTTAGCCTTTCTGTGCCTTCCGTAAAATGTTCGGGCTTCACCGAAACATGGTGGCTACAAAGGCCCGGTTCAGGAACACCAAGAGCTAAGCATGCACCCAGTTCAATTGCGCTAGGGCCTACGGAGCAAGAGCATTGTCCATAGAATACCTGTATAGGTTGAGCATTTAGAGCCGGGGTGCGTTTCTATGAGTGTCGCGTGCACTGCCTCTTTGCCTGAAATTGGCTGAGTGGCGCCAAGGGGCACATGGATGGTTTAGGCTGTCAGCCAAGTACGTATGGGGACTACCTGGGAGGTATAACCCAACGAACGTGCCTGTGATGAATGGGCGTCGGGCGCCTGATCGCTGAGGTTACTGGACGAGAATGCAGAAATGCGCATGTGTCACAGTTCAGAGACATCTGAAAGCAAACACTGGGCACTCCACACATGGATCCGGCACAAAGTCCGTTGTTGGTGCCGTGCTGTGGGTTGGTGATGAAGGTTCCTAACACATTGTACAAATGTTTTTCAGGAGGAGGAACAAAAAGAGCAAAAAGCTTGCATCGTAGTGGGTTCCAGACAACTATCATATGCACGGATTACAGGCAGTGTCTTCGATGACAAGGGTGCTGCTCTGTCTCACGTTTGTAATTTTACGTTGCTGATGTAGTTGTGCTTAAGTATGCTGCAAAGGGGTTGTGGTAGTCACAACACACGAAGTCAGCGCGGTCGCAGTGGCGATTAATGTTACTCTGCCAGTGCAGGCAAAGTGTCTGTCTTCTACAGAAAGCAAATGACCAGAGGCAGAAAGACCACCAAGCGTGCGTTTCCGATATTTATGTTGCTGGTTGCAGTCGTGCATTGGGCCGCTGCTCTCTAGAAGAGTGCAATGCGTAGCATGAAACAAGAGCTACATGTGTTTCCAAGCTTCGCCTGCTTGAGAAGTGTCTATTGCCATGCTCGTATTCAGACACTCGTTTAGAGCTCCCTTGTGGGTAGATATCACTGAGCGCCGGTCCTGGTTAGGGTTCTATTTTGAAGAGGAGCCGTACGGATGAAGACGAACACCGGCATTGCCTCAGTGGCATTGCTACATGCAAAACATGGAATATGCGCTCAACAGCGATGCACTCGTTGTACGCGGCATGTTCAAGCGAAGCAGTAGTTGCCGTGTAATACTAGCGCACATAGAGCCATATACTGTGGATTGTCTGCTACTACGTTGGCTGTACAGTGAATCTATGCCAATAGTTTGTGCGTCTCTTGATACCCCATTGCGGCTTCGTGCAGGTGTTACGCGGTTGCTTGAGGCAGGCTGGATGTATGAACACTAGAGATGATTGCGATTGCACTTTGTTCTATGGGTGTTCGTGGTGTATCGGTTCAACGGCTCCTGCAGCATGCCTTGATTATAGGGCGCATTGGTGGACAGAATGTCAATCGGTACGCTCTCGTGCACTGCACAACCTGAGTTTGGATGCTAGAGAAGCGGTTTTCTGTTTGCACATACTACAATGAAAAAGAACGCAGCGATGGTGTTTTCAAGTTCCTTCAACCGTCTGTCTGCAACATAGACTACAGGATATCGCAAATGTTGCGCATTCTGCTGGTGGGTTGTGATGCTGGCAGTGCACGTGACGACCACGCCGATATGGAAGGTTGCATAGGTAGGTGGACATATATCTTGGTCAATACTGTGAGGCGACGGCGTTTGTCGTGGCCCAGTGGCTGAGCAAACCATAGAGATGCGATTTCTCGTCGGTTATACAGTCCGTGTATCCGTTTGATACTACAATGGAAAAGAACGCAGCGATGGTGTTTTCAAGTTCCTTCAACCGTCTGTCTGCAACATAGACTA